ACATCCCGCAGCTGTGTTCAAGCATCATCGGATTAGTCACCGGATGAGCAGCGCGGTGATGGCGGTAATCGATCAAGGACGGAGTCCTTATGATCAGGGATCGGGAGCAGCGACTTCTCGCCAAGGTGAAGAGGTCCCATAACCGGTTGTACCTGCTCGACCTGAAGGTAGAGCAGCCGGTGTGCCTGGCGGCAAGGCACACCGAGGAGCCGTGGCTGTGGCATGCCCGATTTGGACATCTCAGCTTCGACGCGCTTGGTCGGCTAGAGAAGATGGTCCGAGGGCTACCCCACATCAAGCACAGAGGCGAGTTGTGTGACAGTTGCCTGGCCGGGAAGCAGAGGAGGCTACCGTTCCCAAAGGCGGCCAAGTATCGGGCGAAGGACGCTCTCGAGCTCGTCCACGGCGACCTCTGCGGGCCGATCACGCCAGCTACAAACGGTGGTCGGCGGTACTTCCTCCTGCTCGTGGATGATTGCAGTCGCTACATGTGGCTGCAACTCCTGACGAGCAAGGATGAAGCGGCGGCGGCGATCAAGAAGTTCAAGATGCGCACGGAGGCCGAGAGCGGCAAGAAGCTCCGTGTGCTGAGGACTGATCGAGGTGGCGAATTCACTTCGGTGGAGTTCGCCACGTACTGCGTGGATCAGGGTGTGGTGTGACACCACACTGCGCCATACTCGCCATAGCAAAATGGCGTGGTGGAGCGACGGAACCAGACGGTGGTCGGCATGGCTCGATCCATGATGAAGGCCAAAGGCATGCTGGCAAGGTTCTGGGGTGAGGCGGTGACCACGGCGGTGTTCATCCTCAACCGTGCTTCCACCAAGGCCCTGGAGGGCAAGACGCCGTTCGAAGCTTGGTATGGGCGGAAGCCGAGCGTGTCCTTCCTCCGGACATTAATCGGCTGCATCGGCCATGTCAGGAAGACGAAGCCGATCCTCACCAAGCTGGAGGACAGGAGCACACCGATGGTGTTCCTGGGCTACGTGGAGGGTACCAAGCGTACCGGCTCTACGACCTACACGGAGACAAGGTGCTTGTCTCGCGCGACGTCGTGTTTGACGAGAAGGCGGCTTGGAATTGGAGCAGTCCGAGCACGGGGGAAGCTGGTGGCTTCACCAACACCTTCGTCGTCAAGCACACGGTCATCCACGAGAGTGGAGACTCTGGGGAAGAGGTGCCGAGCACTCCAGGAGGAGTGCCGAACACTGCAGCGGAAGAGCCGAGCACTCCTAGGGCAGTGCCGAGCACTTCGGGAGGGATGCCGAGCACGCCAGAAGTGATGCTGGGAGGTTCTGCAGTGGTGGTGACCAATCTAGGACAGGTGCCGAGCACTCCCGTAGCGGAGCCAAGAGGTCTTGCAGTTGTGCCGACCACTCCAAGACTGAGGCTGAGTACTCCTACAGTGGTGCCGAGCACTGCAGGAGTAGTGACGAGCTGTCCAGAAGTAGTGCCGAGCACTGCAACCAGGGTGCCAAGCACTCCAGGTGCTGTGCCGAGCACTCCGACAGAACAGGGAACTCTATCAACGCCGATCGAGTTCGTCTCACCTCCAAGTGACATCACTGAGTTCGTGGATGCCTTCCACGAAGGTGAGGATTTGCGGTTCCGCAGGCTGGACGACATCATCGGCGGCATAGGGCCCTCAGGCCTGGCGGGTAGGCTGCTCAATGACCAAGAGCTGCTGCTCGTCAGTGCAGGAGAACCACCCACGTTCGCGCTGGCCGAGCGCGACGAAAACTGGTGACAGGCGATGCTGGAGGAGATGAAGGCGATCGAGGAAAACGAGACATGGCAGCTCGTCGATCCACATCCAGGATGCCGTCCAATCAGCCTGAAGTGGGTGTACAAGGTCAGGTGGGACGAGCTCGGCGCCATTGTCAAGCACAAGGCGCGCCTCGTCGTCCGAGGCTTTGTTCAGCGCGAGGGCATCGACTTCGAGGAAGTCTTTGCGCTAATAGCGCGCATGGAGTCTGTTCGTTTGCTACTAGCTTTGGTAGCAGCAAATGACTGGCGCGTCTATTACTTGGACGTTAAATCGGCCTTCCTCAACGGCGAACTGGCGGAAACGGTCTTCGTCAGACAACCTTCAGGTTTCGCCGTCAAGGGAGCGGAGCATAGGGTGCTCCGACTGCGCAAGGCATTTTACGGGCTGCGGCAGGCCCCACGAGCGTGGAACGCTAAGCTTGACGCCACGCTGGGCGAACTTGGGTTCACAAGGTGTGCAACCGAGCACGCGCTCTACACGCGGCGACGGGGGAAGGAGGAACTTGTCGTCGGCATGTATGTGGACAACTTGATCGCCACCGGCGCGCGCACGGAGGACATCAACAGCTTCAAGCACGAGATGGCGGCTCGTTTTCGAATGAGCGATCTCGGGGCGCTCACCTACTACCTCGGCATTGAGGTGAGACAGGGGAGGGAGGCACTCACGCTCGGTCAGAGCGCGTATGACTTGAAAGTTGTTGGAGCGGAGTGGCATGGCTGAGTGCAAGCCATGCGTGACTTCAATGGAGGAGCAGCTGAAGCTGACAAAGGCCAGCACCGCGGCGAAGGTGGATGCAACACTCTACCGGAGCATCGTCGACGGTCTGCGCTACCTACTCCACACGAGGCCGGACATTGCATTCACCGTGGGCTACGTCAGTCGCTTCATGGAGGATCCCAGAGAGGATCACTGGGCTGCGGTGAAGCGGCTACTGCGCTACGTCAAAGGGGACGGTGGATTAGGGGATCATCTTTCCCAAGACCGGCGGGAGTAGGCTGCAGCTCACTGTGTTCAGCGATGCAGACATGGTGGGGACATCGACGGACGACGGAGCACCTCTGGCGTGCTCGTCTTCCTTGGGTCGGCCCCAATTTCATGGTGTCATTTGAAGCGAAGGTGGTGGCGCTATCTACGTGTGAGGCGTAGTACGTGAGCGGCGCCACGATGGCGTGCCAAGTTGTGTGGCTACGCCGGCTGCTGGGCGAGCTGACCGGCGTGGAAGCTCACCCACCAGCACTGATGGTGGACAACCAGCCCGCCCTCGCCCTCGCGAAGAATCCGGTTCTGCACGACCGGAGTAAACACATCGACGTGAAGTTTCACTTTCTCAGGGACTGTGTCGATAGAGGGCAGATCGTCATCAAGTTCGTCGAAACTGGTCGGCAACTCGCGAACGTCCTCACTAAGCCGCTCGGACGTCTTCGACTCACGGAGCTGAAAGAGATGATAGGCATAGAAGGGGTACAAGGGATAGCAGTAGTATTAGGGGAAGAATTGTTAGATAATGTACTGCTTCTTTGTGTGAACACACAGCAAGGGAAGGCGGCACCGAAAAGGCCCCCTGCTATGGTACTATAGCCGCTGCAGATGCAAAGCGCGAATGGCTCACACCGCCAGATTGTAGCCACATGCGAGGACAAGTAGCAGGAAGTCATCCTCTTTGTGTTATCTAGTAATGCTTTGAGTGATGATGGCAGCTGTACTATGACTAGATAGGATAGAGTTGTATAAATAGTTTGCCATTGCAACTCAGTAAAGAGAGTTCAGATTTGTCATCTCCTATACAGGGCTCCGGCCAACGCTGATGCTTGTACTGTGTGTGTATGCTCTGTTCTCCCTCTTCTTCTACCTCTAGCCATAGTGTGTGTGGACGGACAACGCTTCTTCGTGGTCGACATAGCTAGTGGGTGCTCGACAACACTAGTGGGTGCTCGGCAAGACTGGTGAGTGGGCAACTCATCTGAGCCGGTGATCCTGTGGGCTGACATATTTGTCCAGGTTAGCTTCAGATGTTCTTTACCCACTTACTATTAGTTTTCTGGTACCACAATGAAAAAAAAGGCAAACATCAACATCTGGGCTGCTTGCACACAGCATTATTATTGTTTAGCTAATTGTTTAGTCTCTCCAGATAATCTAGGAAATGAAGGCTACCTCCTCAACTTGCTGTGAAAAATTGGTTCAGTACTGAGTTATTCCTCTTTAAATGTTTTGTGTGTCAATCTTTAGTTCCAAATGTTCTTTTCTTTAATCTGCACATCTTTTGTGTTGCCGGTACTTATACAACATTTGATGCTTTATATAATGTGTTGCAATCTACAACATTTGAGATGACCTGGAATGGAATATCTTTACCAGTTGCTGCTGCCATGCTTTTCTTGACATAGCAAACTGATTGATTTCCTTTTCCTTCTTTTAATCATTCTGCATTTTTTTCCAGCTGGTCCCAGCTCCTGGATTCTCTTCCTCTACCAAATGTAAGCATTGATGCTTTGTACTTGAAGCACGCTTCGATAGATATGGATACACCTTGTCTTATTCCTGAACCATCATACAACAGTTTCAGTATTTGTAAACATCTTCAGAACAGTGTAGCTTATTTTGCTCAGTAGTTTGGGCATATAAGGCAGCTATTCTTACTGCAACGAAGCTTATTTATGTTGAAGCTCGTGTTCATGTAGATCAAGTGGATATGCCCCACCGCTGCAAGCCGGCCTGTCGCGGCTTTTGGTGGATTCCCTTGCACTGCATGTGAGTTCCTTTCATGGAAGCTGAAGTTACATACTCCAACTAACAGTATTACCGTTTCTCTGAACTCTGAAGCCTGGACAACATTTGATCACTATTTTCGGGAACTGAAACAGGGTTTGACGTTGAGGACACATCCATAGATGGCCGTGATGACATTGAGGGACTGGATGCTTCAGCTGCACACATTGCAAATCTGCTGTCCTCTGAGCCATCTGATGGTACTAATAGCTAATCCCAAGATCATGCCATCACATACTTGCTAAGTGCTAAGACTCATGATACTAATTTTGCTGTTGATAGGAATGTATATGTTAGTTGATAAGCTAACTATAAGTCCATATCTCATAAAAATGTTCATCAGTACATGTGGCAGATTTATGATTTTAGATACACAGTTCATACAGAGTTGCTCTCTTTTATTCATTCCATTGACTTTCGCCACATGTGAGCAGTGAAGCTTGGGATTGGTGGTTTCAGCATGGGTGCCGCTGTTGCCCTCCACTCAGCAGCATGCTATGCTCATGGCAAATTCACAAGTGGCATTCCCTATCCAATCACACTCAACGCAGTCATCAGTTTGAGTGGCTGGCTCCCTTGCTCAAGGTCTAACTTGACATCCTCTCCATAGATCATCTGTGTCATAAACTTGCTATGTTATTAATATTTTTTCATGGATCCTAATGTTAACTCTTGGTATTTGCAGGACCCTGAGGGGCAAGATGGAGAGTTTGCATATTGCTGTAAGAAGGGCTGCCTCCTTGCCCATCCTGCTTGGTCATGGAAGAGGTGACGATGATGTTGATTCAAAACCCCCAGAAATTCAGTATATATACTAGACAATAAGTTTTTTTTTCTAAATCTTATGTGTTTTTGCAGTGGATGAAGTTGTCGTCTACAGGAATGGCGAGAGATCAGCTGAGATTCTGAGGAACTCAGGATTCTCATTTCTGACTTTCAAGCCCTACAATGGGTACAGATGCATGCATAAGCTAGATAAAGTTTCAGTTTCTTCTCCCGCCAGACAACCAGATTGATTAAATGACTTGTGACGATGCAGGTTGGGCCATTATACAATCCCTGAAGAAATGGACGATCTCTGCAACTGGCTCAGCTCATCACTTGGCCTCAGCCGATCTCGCTAAAAGAATAGTTTTTGCGTATGTGCAATGGGTTTGCTAATAGCATATATTTTGAGGGGTTGTAACACTTGATGCTACTCTCTTACTCTCCAGTGCTCTCTTCACATTTGGCTTTTGTTGCCATCGTCCTAATTTACTGGTATATGTTTTGCCTGCTACTGGCAAGGAGTGACTATATGTACTGCAGTACTTTGTCTGATGTTGTTAATAAAAAGAAAATGCCGTTGAGGCCTCTGATCAATGAAACAGCATTTGTACTGTATCCAGGCAGCAAAACTGGAGACGTCTTGACTACATTTGAACATTTGTTACGTTTCAGTTCCATGGTTGTTCAGAAGCTCCTTAACCATCTAAGAGATTCAGAAACACAACTTCTTAATACAATGATACGTTAGCTCTCCTGTGTATTCAAAAAAGATTCAGAAACTGAAAAGCTCAAGTGCTCTGACCTAGCTAAATTTAAGAGCAAAGCAAAATGGCAGTGTAGGTGCCAGGTGCAACTAAGATTGTACTCCCTCCATCCACAGAAGAATGCAATTATGGAAACCGTGCCGATTTCATGTTTAACCAAGTTTATAGTAAATAAATTTATTATGAAAATATATTCTATAACTAAAATCTAATGGTACTTGTTTTGTCTCATGAGTGTTAGTACTTTCTCATATAATTTGAGTCAATGTTCAAACTATTTAACTCCTCGAAATGTGAAAATTACATTCTTTTATAGACGGAGTGAGTATTCATCTATACAGTAATTCATGATTTTGGCGTTATCTAATATTTACACAAGATCGGGTGTCGTTTGTTTGTCAAGGTTTGGATTTTAAACAGCAAGCACCAGTGGTCTAGTGGTAGAATAGTACCCTGCCACGGTACAGACCCGGGTTCGATTCCCGGCTGGTGCATTTTTATTTTTAATTTGTTTGGAATTTTCTATCACCAATTCTGCATAGAATAAATGAACGAATTTTTTCTTTTTGTTTGGAATTTCCGAACACCAATTCTCCATGAATGAAGCAAAAATGTAAACTGAAAGACCCATGAACCAAAAAAATATTGAATGTGCAGTTAGAGGTATGCTAAACAACTTCTGGTGAATCACTGAAGACATGCTTGGGTATCTTTGGTTCAGCATCGAGTCTCTTCGCTGATCTGGAGAAATGTGTGGCTACACCTATAACTGCTCGGGCCAGGAGCTCGCTTTTGGTTCAAAAGTCTGGGCTGCAAGGGATGTCCATTAAGCCCATGTTTAGTTTCAACCAAAAATCCAAAAAAGTCTACAGTAGCTATCACATCGAATGTTTGCGGTCCCGTGCATGGAGCATTAAATGTAGACGAAAAAAAACTAATTGCACAGTTTGGTGGGAAATTACGAGACGAACGTTTTGAGCCTAATTAGTCCATATTTAAACACTAATTGCCAAATAAAAACGAAAGTGCTATAATAAAGTTCAAATTCCAACTTGCTGAAACTAAACACGCGCTCAGCAGCTTGCGCCATCACTCTTTGCGGCAATAGGAAGGAGACGCCGAGGACGTCCTGTCGCATGTGGATTTGTAATTGGTGTGACGTGCTAGACGTGATCGCAAAAAAAAAAAGTACCAACTAGTGTGCACTAATGACAGACTAATGACAAGTTCTTCAACCTGGTTATATAGCATTAGTAAGACGAAGCCAAATTAAATGTCGAGACGACAAAGATGACAGTCTTTTTTCTTTTTCCTTTTAACGAACCAGCGTGAGAGCTACCTGTTATATTAACAAGCAAAAAAAAGCCCTAATAGGCATTATACAGAGAGAAAAAATAGTCATAACAACAACAAAGCCCTAGCTGGTCAAAACAGGAAAAAACATCGCACATGAAACAAATGCACGGAGTGCAAAAACTCAAAAATGTTGGAGCATTATTTGTTTAAGGTGATTTGCTCTCGCCACGGCCCAAAGGCATGCTTCATCTCGAATACCCTCGCATTCTTTTTTGTCCAAATTTCCTAGCAAACGAGCATGATCAGCGAGTGTAAACCTCCCTTGACCACACTAGGTTTCTGATCCAAAACTGTCCACCAATTGTGGACTATTCCAGTTGTCTTCGACGACTGCGATGACTAACCTTTGATGCCAATATGTAGAAGGGCTTCTCCAACATCTCCGACGTTAGCACCGACAACATATCTTCGTTGATATCTTCGGCGACTACAACAACTTGCCTCCACCAAAACTTTGGCATGAGGGGCTTCACTTAGCGTGTGTTTGGTTTCAGGACCACGTGGGATGGGTTGGACCTAATCTAGTTTTTTCGGTTGGGTTGGACCCATCTCGTGTCTGGTTTGACGGTTAGAGCCATTCTAGTTTTTTAAAAACTTGCCATTCCAATTTTTTGTTTGGTATGAGGGATCGAGCGGGATGGGATGGATGGTACTATAAACTCCGTTAGTTGCTATGTAAGTGGGACCTAGCTATCAGCGACTTTGCTTCCTTCTTCCACCTCCCATCGTGATGCATTGTGCCCACCAACACCCCGGCTAGCGCGCTGCTCTGCCCTGATGGCCCATTGCCTTTCGCGTGGCCGGCCGCCGTGTCCTGCGCCGCCCCGGGAAGCCACGACGGTCCACGCTGGCCCCGCCGCGCCGTCTCATGACCGCGGCCCATGCTGGCCGTGCTGTGCCACCCAAGCTACCCCTGTTGCGCCGCCTCGCCCCAACATGGCGACCCACGAGACAGAGATGATACGGCGTCACCTCCCCGAGCCCGAGCTCGACCCGCCCTAGCCGCTGCTTGCCCAAGGTCATGCTCGTCCCACGCGGCCAGTCACTCGTGCGAGACAGAGCAGAACACGTACATGTGGGTCGAGCTTGTCCGCTCGAATAAAGCAGATCATTCCAACTCATAGGTTCGAGCCAACCCACATAGCTCCTCAACCAAATGCATGGCCATCTGGGTCAAACTTGTTCCAATCTAGTTCAACCCTCAAACCAAACACACAGTAACATCATCGACATCTACACCAACATTGCCTTCGTCAACACCTTTGGCATGAGAGCCTTCGCTAACATCTTTGGTGTCCACAACGACTTGCCTCTCGCCAACACTTCGACATGAGGGGCTTTACCAACATCTTTGGTGACTTTGACAAGTCGTCTCCACCAACACTTTAGAAGGAGGGGCTTCACTATCATGTTTGGCCACTACAATGGCTCGAGAGCTAGGGGAGCATACTAGAGGACCTGACACTCTAGAGGGTGAAGTCTTTTGTCTGATGCTCATGAGAGAAGATTTGGAGGCTTCATGAAAACCTTCGCTATGACTACGACAACTAAACCTATTCGTAAAGAAAAGGTGTGTCTCCATGCAAAACCTCAGACGAGAAGGTCTCGAAGGCGAAGATCTGCATGCCAAGAAGGACCAAGAGACGAAGATCCACACAAGGAGAAGGTCCCGGAGGCAAAGATCTTGTAGCAGAACCGTATAATTTATAAGAGCACAAGTATAATGGCAGCCCGCAAGCGGTCACACTATCATACTTGAGCCCATATAAATCCGGTAGTCCGTCGAGTACCACGAAGGGTCTCGATTAACCGTCAACATACAACCAAGATCGTACATGATTCAACAGACATGTCACATGTTACATCAGTTCACAAATACAACGTCATACATCAGAGTATGATTAAGAGTTATTACAAACCATGTTCAAATAAAATAGTCATGAAAGCAATTAAGTTTGAAAACCAACACCTCACATCATTGTTCCAATACAGTGCCAGTCCATGATCACAACCACAAAAGCATGATAGAGGGAATTAACGAGAGACGCCTTTCCTAGGCCCTACTCCTCGTCCACGGCAAGACAAAAGCAGTTTTGACAGTAGCCATGATAGACTGTACCATCTGCAACAAGTGGGAAATAAACCTTGAGTACGAGAAGGTACTCGGCTAGACTTACCCGTCATAAACCAAAAAGAAAGTGACTCCAAGGATAATGCAAGACTTTATAAGTGGAGCTAACTTGACAACATTTTGCATGAAAAACTACTAATTCAGTTATATATTTATAATTCGGTCATCAAGTTAATTATAGCTATCCATCTCTAGATTAGCAACTAACATGTGCCAAACATATGGTATATCATTTAGTAGCATACAATAGTAACCATAGCCGGTGTAAAAGTTCCAAGTTCACCATAACCATCATTCCATAATCTAGTTACTACGATGTTGGAGCTAGCCAAGTTTCTCACTGTTCGAGAGAGACGGCGATTCGAACTGATTTCAACCAGCTGGGAATTTATTACTAACACAAACACAAACAGACCAGATCAATGGTCACCTTTGATATAACTCAGGTACACATTTTGCGGTGTAAGGAAAATAGACACTAGGCCCATTTACTATTTTGGTGTTTGATGACTAACACAACTAAATTAGACTAATAAATTTGCAAGTGATTGTTTTGTAGTTCAATAGGGTAGAATATGTGACTTGGACGAAGGCAACGTGATGATCCGATGATCAACACCATAAGCAAGACCTTAGAAGCACAAGAGAAGACCCAAGATATCAAGCAAAGTCCAAGCATGAAGATAGGAACCAAGACGTACGCAAGATCACGAAGAAACGAGCTCACAGAAGTGACCGGACGCTGGTAACACAGTGACCGGACGCCCCGATCAAGAGACTCGATAGTAGCAGTGACCGGACGCTGCGGTAGATCGACCGGACACAGGACAATAGAGTCTGGTCGAGTATAGAGAGGTTCTAGAGACTCGATAGTAGCAGTGACCGGACGCGTCCATTGGCATGTGACCGGACGCTGGCAGCGTCCGATCAGTGGATCGCGGCTCCAATGGTCGGGACGGCCGAACGCGTCCGGTCAGTAGCAGAAAAGCAGGATTTCGACCCCAACCGGCCAAATGAAGAAAGTGGAGTTGAGGAAACATATCAAGGGTGTTAATACACCATTTTAGTGATCTCCACTTGCATAGTGCTTAGTGTTTCATTAGGT